TCTGCTCCTGGTGAGAGCTCCGGGCTGCTTCCGCCCGTGGTGGAAGGTGAAAGGGAGCTGATGTGTGCAGGGATCAAATGGTGAGAGGAAGAGAAAGGAGGGAGGAGGTGCCATGCTCCTCTAAACAAAAAGCTCTTGTGAGAACAAACAGAGTGAGAACTTACTTATCTCTCCACCGTCCACAGGGAGGGCTTTAATCTATTCATAAGGGATTCACTCCCAAGTTCCAAACACCTTCCATCAGGCCCCACCACCAGCCCTGGGATCGAATTTCGGCACGTGATTTGGAGCACAAACATCCCAACTCTGGCAGACAGTGTCTTGCAAGTAGTAGGCAGCACACACGTGTTAGCTCATGATGTCACCCAGCCAGGAAGCATCCGATGCTAACGCAGACTAACCCACAGCATCAAGATGTCTGGGAGAGAAGGGTCTTGTTTCCTTCCACTCACGCCGATGCTCTAAACTCACGCATGTCTAGTTCTTGAGTCACATCCAGTGTAGCTCTGGTTTTGAAAACAAGCAGTCCTCATTTCCCTTCTCCTGCAGAGCTGTGATCAACAGCTGGGCTCATTAAAGAGCCATTGTTCCTCTGAGCGTGACTGAATCTGGACCATCTGACCAGTTTATCACCTGATGCATTTGGCTCCCCAAGGTCTGTCTCCCTGAGAATTAGCTCCCTTGTCTCACCTCCTTGGCATTGCAAGTTTAAAAACAAAAGCTTTCTGAGCTTGGAGTTATGGCCGCCTGCTGTTTCTGTTGCCCAGCTGGCACTGAAGAACGTTCTGTCTTAGGCACCTTCGTTATTGGCAACAATGGTTTTTTTCCCGATATATTGCTTATGTTGCATCAATTGATTAACGATCTGTAGAGTGCATCTTCTAGCACTTTTCCATTTGTGTCACCTGAGTGGGCTTGTTCATGAGCAAAATGTGTCTGCTTTTCCGTCTCTCCCTTGCCTCACCCACAGCTGCTTCTGGGTGGCGTGGCAGGCAGGGAATGGAGTTTTAGGGCAAGAGAGGAGCTGGATCCTAGGATTCAGCTGTCAATAGTGTGAACCACCCCTTTGCTTCTTGGGGCCCAGGCCTTCTGTGGAAGGAGATGGCTGGATTTGGGATTGCCAAGGCTCCTTCCAGCTCATTATACTTTGATGCTTCTCAGCTTCTCTCCTGGCTCCTGCCTCAGAGATGACCATTCAGGAAACCCCTTAGAGCAGTGGCCTGAGGAGCCCCATCTGCTGCATTTGGGGGAGGTTCAAGACATACAATGTCCAGACTTCTCAGCCTGGGGGCCTGGCCCCCAACAGGGGCTCTGCTGATGCAGAGGGCCCGTGTGCTCCTAATGTGACCCTGGATCTGGGATCAGTGACGATGACTCTTTGAGGGTCTCCTTTGGAATCTGAAGACCTTCTCCAGTTGCCAGTTAACTAGCTTTTCAGTGAGACCAACAGTGGCTTCTAAGAGGCTGAGACCAGGCCTGTTGCTTCTCTTGCACTCCTGTGACATCCAGCACAGGGCTGGGCGTACTGTAAATGTTCCTGAAGATTTCCGAAGAATGGTAAGAAGTCAGTGGTAGGAGGTGGCTGCTGAGAAACCTGATGTCATCTCAGATTGCATTAATAAAAGCATGTTAATTAGAATGAGGGAGGTGATGGCCTCGCTGTTGCATGCTGAAGAGAACTCATCTGTAGAACTAAGTTCCATTTTGATTACTCACTAATGCTCCATGAGAGTAGGCACAGTGTTTGCCTTTTTTGCTACTGTATTGCCAGAAAAAGCACTGGGCCTGTCAGACACGAGGCTTGCAATAAACATGTCACCTGCCCAACAGAGAGAGATCTTGGGCTCCTTCAAGATTGCAAGGATGCTCCTCTGCATGTCTCACGAAGAGCTGCAGAAGTAGCTGGAGAGGTTTAACTCACTGACCCCGGGAAGCCTGAGAGTTACCCCCAGATATTTGAAGAGTTGCTACATAGAGGGGAATTTAACTCTGAGTCTTGTATCACGTGACTCAGAACCTGCTATTTATCAGAGCCATCCACAGATAGATTGGGTATGGTGGAATGGTGAGCCTTCAGTCACTGGGGGCACTTGAGCCTAAGTTAGGGCCCACCTGGTGGGGATGTTGTCACAAACATTCAAACATCACCTGGCGAGGGCACACTGTATGTCTGTGTTTTTTCCTGCTGTGCTAACATCTATACCCCTTTGCAGTCATAGTATCCTGTTTTGGTTTTGAAAATCCCATTGATTTCTGCCTTGTGGGACTTGGTGATGTCACTGAGGACAGCTGTGGTGGAGACTGGTTCTCAGCATGCCCCATGCTCCCCAGCTAAGTGTGAAACAGGACCTAAGTGAGGTTTCCGGAGAGTGCTGATTCTCAGTCTGGCGCCCAGCACAGCGACATCAGCCTTGCCTGGGAACTTGTTTAAAATGCGCAATTCTGGAGTTCTACCCCAGAATCAGGAACTCTGTGGGCTCCAGCAATCTGTCCGCATGGGCCCTCAAGAGGCCATGTGTTTTATCTTACATTCCCTGCCCGTTCCCTGCCTGCTACACCACCCAGAGGTAGCCATGGGTGAGGCAAGGGAGAGAGAGAAAGGGGAACACATTTTGCTCGTGAACGAGCCCACTCAAGATATACCAATGGAGAAGTGCTAGAAGATGCACTCGATAGATCATGAAATTCAAGCTCGTAAGCTCCCTGGGACCTGTCCTATTAGGACACAGGTCTTCAGCTTTCTTTTCCTTTTTTTTTTTTTTTTTCAATTCTTTGAGCTCCTTCTTTTACTTTAAATAAATTCTGAGTTTTCTTTTTCTTTCTTTCTTTTTTTTTTTTGAGACGGAGTTTCGCTCTTGTTACCCAGGCTGGAGTGCAATGGTGCGATCTCGGCTCACCGCAACCTCTTCCTCCTGGGTTCAGGCAATTCTCCTGCCTCAGCCTCCCGAGTAGCTGGAATTACAGGCATGAGCCACCATGCCCAGCTAATTTTTTGTATTTTTAGTAGAGACAGGGTTTCACCATGTTGACCAGGATGGTCTCGATTTCTTGACCTCGTGATCCACCCGCCTCGGCCTCCCAAAGTGCTGGGATTACAGGCTTGAGCCACCATGCCTGGCCAATTCTGGGTTTTCTTTTGCTTCATGTTAGCTACAGTCAATGTCTGTCACTTAGAGTCAAAGAGCCCAGTAAACACCGGATGGGAAGGATTTGGTCAGATGAGCCCTAAGGCCCCTTCTGGCCTCACCACTTTGAATGTATGAGTGAATGAATGAATCGTTGATGGAACTGAACCAGATCCCTTCTAGTTTGAGTTTTCTTTAAGAGAAAGTCAAGTGAAGGCGGTGGGAGGCAGGGGGAAGGTCAGGAATGTGACCACTGCCGATGCTGATCCCAGAATGACCGGAGTTCTGTGTGGACCAAAATTAGGACACACTCAGGAAGCCTGCCCCTGCTGAGCACTTCTCTGCTTCTTTGCTGAGGGAAGCCATGCAAGCTCCCGAGGTCCCATTTTCTTCTCTAAGGAGAGGATTAATCTGTGCTCTTTGCTCCTTCCTCTTCTGTAGCTAAATTAAAATGCACGCGTGACTAACAGCAGCGCTGGGGTGGTCTGTGTGGAGTGCTGCCTGTTGGGCTGTGAGCAATTTGCCAAAGAAGTCTTCATCCTGGTAATTTGAGCCAGATGCTTCAGTGCAGACCCCGCTGACTCATCAACACCCCTGCCTTCCTGAGGACTGAGCTGGGGGTCAGCTCTCTGCTCATGCCATCTGCCTTTTTAGAAGCACCCTGCTGGGGGGTTGCAGGGGAGTGGGGGCAGGAAGAAACACTTAGGGAGACTACGTGGTGTGGGGAGATCTGAAGGATGGGGAGTTATTCTAGCTGGCATGGAGAGTTATCCGAAGGAGGAATTGGTGAGTGTCTACGTGTGGGATTCGGGGCTCTGAAACTTGCCTGCATTTGGAAGAGGAAATGTTCAAGGCACCAGTTCACGAGATTTTCATAGCTATTTGGGAAGCAGTCTGTGGGCAGAAGAAGCAAGCTCAGGGACAAGAGAGAGAGCGGGTGGTTGGGCAGGATGAACAGACGGCTCTTTGGCTTTGCACTCTATGTTCTTTCTGCTGTTCTCGGCTTCTCTTTCACCTCATTTTGCCAGATCTCCTGACCTTCTGGGTTTCTGCCTCTTGTTTCCACATGTCACCTTCTGTGGCAGAGCCCATTTTGGTTGCAAGTGACTGTTCCCCAACTTGTAACAACTTGGGAACACAGTGGAGCTTTATTGGCTCCTGGAGTCAAACCCTGAATTTGAACAACCAAGTCTTAGAAAAGGAAGGCTGCAGTTGGAGCTCAGGGACGGCTGGAACCGGGACTTGAACTCTGCTGCCAGAGCCTCATCTTTGCTTCTCTCTGTGTGGTGCTTTCACCGTCTCTTCCCATAGACTGGTTTCTGCTACACAGTGGGAAATGTGGTTGACAAGAGGACCCTAGTTTGCCTTTTGGGTGATTCTGACTGTGGGAGAGGGGCTGGCTTTTACTTTCTCTATCCCAAGTTGAATTAGGGAGAAAGCTCAAGACGGAAAAATCACAGCTCTGCCAATGACTACCTGCGTACCTGGGACTGAATTGCAGACAATGGGCTCAGGTCATTCCCCAACAGGATGTGTTCTTCCAGGGCCTCGGTCTCTCACTCACCCAAGGATGGGGGAGAGGACCCCACTGGGCGCAGTGAGCTCATTTAAGTAAATTTTGGACCCCAAAGAGTTTTGCAGAAAGTGATTTATTTAGGCAGAGAGAGAGAGAAAAAGGAGAAAATGAGCTCCCATGTTGTCATGAGAGGGGATCCAGAAATGGAGTCTGCACAGATGTGGGAGAAGGGGACTTTTAACCTGGGAGATATTCCTGCCCTATTCAAGTTTTTTGACCTATGAAGGGAGTTCCTTTAAACTTCCACTGGAGTGATTACTCTTTGATTTCTCACAGCTGATTTGTTGTTTGGCCCACAGTCCTCCCACAGCTTCTTGTGGGCTTTCTAGATAAAGGAAGCTCACCTGGCCAGTCTACTTCCCGTGCATGAGAAGGTTAAACAAAGACTTCTAGTCTCCCGGATGGAGAGGTAGGTGGAGGTATAGTGCTGGGAAGTTCTTGCCTTTGAAACCATGCCCCTTGTGGACCCGGGAAGAGAATACATTCCCTCATACCCACCACGTAGAACCTATTCTCCAGTTAGGAACCAAGTCAAGGCAAAGGCACACAGAGTGAAAGTCAGGGTGTGAGCAAACCAAACACCAGCCAGCAGAGGTTAAACTTCTATGCAAACAGGCCTGCCTGACTCGGAACAGGGGAGACTGAGGAGGATGAGAAGCCCCTGCCAAGGCCACCAGGAGGCCCAGGCCTTGGGGCTCCGGGAAACGTGGTCTCCACGCTCAACCTTGGCTCTGCCTTCCCCAGAAGATGCCTCTGGCCGAACCAAGCTGGGTTTTAATCATGCTGCCTTCATAAGCCAGGTGAGAAGTGGGAACGACTGTAGCTCCCAGGTCAGAGAGGCAGGGATTGCCTGGTGGTTGGGAGCAGAGGCTGTGGAGTCACAACACCTGGCTACAATTTCAGTTTTGCTGCTTAGAAGCAGTGTGACTTTGGCCTGGTTCCCCAATCTGTGAATGTCCCAGCTTTCTCATCTCTAGAATAATGGGGATGATCCTAATGACACCTACTTGTAGGGGTGGCGTGAAGAGCAAATGAGTCAATGCCCATGAAGAATGTAGGACACTGAGTGGCATCTGGCAAGCAATCATTGCTAGTATTTACTCCTTGCTATCTTTGCAGTTCTGGGTGATATTTCTCTAGGGCCTCCCCATGGCTGCCGCTAACCCAAGACAGGCTGGGAGCTCTGGGCCATTCCCTCCACGGCCAGTGGCCCCTCTGCTTCTGTCTCTGCTACTCCAGAATGGAAGCCAGTAAGAATTGAGAGTGATGTTCTTATATTGAATCTGTTCTGAAAGTTTTAAAAAGTAACCATTCTAGAACCTTCGTTCCCTATTATGAATGGATTGCTTTTAAGAATAGCTTCTATTCTGAGCACTGTGTCAAATGCTCCACATTCATGATTTAATTGTCACAAAAACACAGCCAGGCAAGAGTTCCTAACCCCATCCCACTTTTTTAAAAATTGCTTAAGGAAATGCACCTGTAGTTAACCAACCCCGGGATCATGCACCTGGCTTATGAAGGCAGCATGATTAAAAGCCAGCTCGGTCCAGCTAGAGGCATCTTCTAGGGAAGGCAGAGCCAAGGTTGAGCATGGAAACCACGTTTCCTGGAGCCCCAAAGCCTGGACAACCTGGTGGCCTCGGCAGGGGCTTCTCATCTGCCTCAGTCTCCGCTGCTCCCTGGGTCAGGCATAGAAGTTTAACCTCTGCTGGCTGGTGTTTGGTTTGCTCATACCCTGACTTTGACTCAGTGTGCCTTTGCCTAGATTTGTTTCCCAACTCGAGAATAGGTTGTATGTGGTGAGTGTTGTGCCCAAAGTCTTTGTCCCCCTCACACCCCTCGCCCAGGGTCGGGGACCAAGCTGCGGCGGCCTTGGTGATCTGGGCTGGTAGGACAGGCAGGAGAGGAGCGCGTCAGTCCCGCTCCCCGCCAGGCGGTGGCACCAGTGTGCAGGCCAGGCCGGGCTCCGCGTGGCTATCGCAGTTCAGCAGCTGCAGCCCAGCCAGGCTTCTCAAGACCCCACCTGAAGAAGCACCCGTTCTGGGCATTACCCGTGAGGCAGGGGGCAAGGGGAGAGGTCCAGGGGAGTGGCGAGGCTGTAGCAGAGAACGTGGGCGTTCGTGAGCCCCGCGGTCCGGGCTCCTGCTTTCTGGGGACAGCCAAGATGGCCCTGAAGTCCGCAGCCCTGCAGGGCGACCCCTCAGAGCCTAGGGGTGCCCGCGCCCCCTCCGGCCCCTCCGCCCTCTGCGGAAGGAAACCCAGGCCCTGGCTCGCTGGGACGGGTCCTCCCGGGGGCGCCAGCTGCTTCCCTGTTCGTAGACTCAGCAGCCTACGATGTGACTTCAAGGTCCTCTCAAGCTCTACCTTCTTAAACAATAAAATGTAGACCTCTCCTCAGTCATGTGGATTATGTGAGAGCAACCTGATTTGGGGCTGCTGTTCATTCATTCATTCGTTCATTCACTCATTTGGGGTGGAGAGCATAGTATGCCGGGCACCTTACAAGGGCAGAAGGCAGTGAGAACTCGGCAGATTCCACCACTGCTCCTGTGGGATCTGAGGTTTAGTGGGGGACACAGGGAACTGAGCACATTAGCTCGGGAAGTGCCCTAACCCAGCCCATAAAGATCAAGGCGAGCTTCCTGGAGGAAGAGGGACCTAAGCTGATGGCTGAAGGCGAGAAAGAGTTTGCAGGGCTTGAAAAGGGGGTGGGGGTGGGATTGGACATGGGGCCTAAGAGACTCCTTGTTTTTCCAGAGGACATGGGGAGCTGGCTCTGTGCTCTCCCATTTTTGTCACTCAGAGTGCAGGGACCCATGACCTGGGGCGGGAGGAAGCCTATTTCCATCTGTCCATGTGCATAGTGTAGGATTAGGACTTTGATGGAATCGGATTTTCTTTCTCCCCAGGAAAACAATGTCTGAGACTCCCCGGTTTTGCCCATAACTGCATTGTCCTGTGGATGCCCAGTGGAACCCATGGTGAGAACCCAAGGGTCAGGCTGAATAGGCCATGCTCCTCTGTGGTAAGCACTTGCCTTCCTAAACCACTGTCCTACCTGCTGCCCCAGTGGCTCTGCCAGCCTGTGTGTCTCCACAGGCTGTGGGGAGGGAGGTGCAGGGGGGTGGGCTCTGCCCAGGCTTCTCGCCTTGCTCCTGCCTAGTGTGGCTCTGCAGGGTGAGCCTACTCTTCTTAGGATACCTTCTGGTTTTGGTGGTGAGAGACAAGTGTCATTCTTGGCACACAACAGCACCTCAGGATGCCTGGTAAAACATGATGAGTTTTGCCAGCAGGATGGGTGAGCTGTGCCTGGCTGGGCTGGCCTGCTCGCTTTCTTCATTCAGGGTCTCTGAATGACAGGTTCCCAGCACCCACATCTTGGGGCCACGGGGGGACGGGGCTTGCCATCTTTCCCCTGCTGTTTGGTGAAAGGCCGAGACTGTCAGTGCTCCCTGCCAGGCCAGTACTCCTCCTCTGGGAGCCTGTGTCCCTGACCAGAGGAGGGTGGGAGGCAGTACCCCGGAATAGAAAGGGCTTGGGGGTTAGGAGCGAGAGGCTGAGGGGCTGGCCTTGTTGGGCTCTTTACCCACTGCAGGGTTTTTACAAAGTCCTGCAGGTTAAGGTATGAACCTTGGTTTCCTATTATAAAACAAAGATGTCCACCCCATGGTGACTTATTCATGGTATGAAGCTATGAGGTACAAGGACTGTGACAATAATGATAACCGAGACTGCTGCTGATCAATGTTTGCGAAGGCAGCTCCTGTGTGTGGGTCTTTACATTTGTGAATCATGCACAGGGCGTAGGTATGAGCTGTCTACATGCTGAAGAGCACAATGTCACTGAGAGTGGGGTGGTGATGAATGCTGTCCTGGGCTCCCTAGACCTGGATGAGCCCCACAGCAACCCCAAGCCTGTACGACCTAGACAAGTCTGCCTCCTCTCTGGTGCTCATGCTTTGTTATGGAGGAGGTTGGTTCAGATGACCTGTAAGGGTCCATCCCATGAAGTGGCCTTGGGAGAGTCAACATCAGGAACCTGCCAGGGATGCCGAAGGCAGGGGACAAAGAGACCAAGGGGCTGGTTATTGATGACAGGCCAGGATGGGGACCTGGTAGAAACAAGATCTGATTCTCGAAGGGCCCCCAAATCCATGGTTCCTCATTGGCGGTTATTCTCAGCCCTAAGAAGAGGATGTCTCTTACTGGAGGTGATTCCGAATCATCGAGAAGGAGGGGCATGGAGGCTTTTTCTTCCCAGCACTTTGGGGGATGAAAAAATCCTACCAAGGTGGGAGGGATGCTTGAACATAGGAGTCAGAGACCAGCATGGGCAACATCATGAGACTCCATTTCTACAAGAAATTTAAAAATTAGCCAGATGTGGTGGTGTATGCCTGTAGTCTCAGCTTCTCAGAGGCTGAGACAGGAGGATCCTTTGAGCCTAGGAGTTTGAGGTTGCTGCAAGCTGTGATCATGCCACTGTACTCCAGCTTGGGCAACAGAGTGAGATCTTGTCTCTAAAAAAATAAATAATAATAAAAGTTAAAAAGACAGGTAAAACAGAATCACCGAGACTTTTTGGTGAATGAGACTTCCCTGTGGGAAGTCAAGCTGCTTTGGGGAGTCAGCCTTAGGCATCAGAAGCAATAAAGGTAGAAACTAGGCCCAAGCTCCGTGAAAGGCCCAGAAGGACCCGTAAGTCCAATCAACAAGCCTTATTAAACACCTTGCCTGTGCAAATTTAGGTCTGGTGACCATTTACTGTGTTTGCAATGTTATTATTAATGTTAAAAAAGAAAGGCCAGTGCAATCCTCGTTGCCCCGGCAATTTATATTTTTCTTCTCTTTGCAGTATTTTCCATCTGCCTCCATTCTCTCTGACCCAAGACAAGTAAAAATAAGAGCCACCATTTAATGAACATGTATATTATGGTTTGGCTGTGTCTCTACCCAAATGTTTTCTTGAATTGTAATCCCCATCATTCCCTCATGTCTAGGTAGAGACCTGGTGGGAAGTGATTGCGTCATGGGTTGGTTTCCTCCATGCTGTTCTAGGGATAGCAAATGACTTCTCATGAGATCTGATGGTCTTACGAGGGACGCTTCCCACTTCACTCACTCTTCTCTCTCCTGCTGCCACATGAAGAAGGACCTTCCTTCCCCGTCCCCTTCCACCATGATTGTAAGTTTCCTGAGGCCTCCCCAGCCGTGGAACTGTGAGTCAGTTAAGCCTCTTTCCTTTATAAATTACTCAGTCTCCAGTATTTCTTCATAGCAGTGTGAAAACAGACTAACAACATGTACCATGTGTCAGGCTCTGTGTTAATTGCTTTTTGTGCATTATTTCATTTAAGATTTCTGTGAGGTAGCATCATTATAATCACTTCTTTTTAATTAATTTTTGATTTTTGTGGGTATATAGCAAGTTTGTATTTATGGGTTACGTGAGATATTTTGATATAGGCATGCAATCAGTATTAATCACAGCATGGAGAATGGGGTATTCATAACCTAAAGCATTTATCCTTTGTGTTACAATCCGATTATATACTTTTAGTTATTTTTAAATGTACAATTATTTTTGACTAAGTCACCATGTTGTGCTAGCAAATACTATGTCTTATTCTTTCTAATCCTATTTTCAGGTCTATTAACCACCCCCACATCCCCCTACACCCGCACTACCCTTCTCAGCCTCTAGTAACTATCCTTCCACTCTCTATGTTCATGAGTGGCATTGATTAAATTTTTGGCTCCCACACATAAGTAGAACATGCTTGTCTTTCTGTGCCTGGCTTGTTTGACTTAACCTAATGACCGTCAGCTCCATCCATGTTGTTGCAAATGCTAGGGTCTCCTTTTTTGTAGCTGTATGGAACTCCATTGCGTATCTGTGCATTTTCTTTATCCATTCATCTGTTGATGGACACTTAGGCTGCTTCCAAATTTTGACTATTGTAAACAGTGCTGCAATAAACATGGGAGTGCAGATATCTCTTTGATACACTGATTTCCTTTCTTTGCGGTGAATGCCTAGGAGTGGGATTGCTGGGTAGTGTGGTAGCTCTAGTTTTAGTTTTCTGTGGAACCTCCAAACTGTTCTCCATGGCGGCTGTACGAATTTACATTTCCACCAATGGTGGACAAGGCTTCCCTTTTCTCCACGTCCTTGCCAGCATTTCTTATTGCCTGTCTTTTGGAAAAAAGCCATTTTAACAGGGGTGAGATGCTATTTCATTATAGTTTTAATTTACGTTTCTCTGATGATAGTGATGCTGAGCACCTTTTCATAGGCCTGTTTGCCATTTGCATGTCTTCATTTGAAAAATGTCTATTTAGATCTTTTGCCCGTTTTTAAATTGGATTTTTTCCCCTGTAAAGTTGTTTGAGCTCCTTGTGTATTTTGGTTACTAATCTCTTATCAGATGAGCAGTTTGCAAATATTTTCTCCCATTCTGCGGGTTGTCTCTTCACTTGGCTGATTGTTTCCTTTGCTGCTCAGAATCTTTTTCACTTGATGTGATCCCATTTGTCCGTTTTGCTTTGGTTGCCTGTGCTTGTGGGGTATTGCTCAAGAAATTCTTTGCCCATTCCAATGTCCAGGAGAGGTTCCCCAGTGTTTTCCCTTAGTAGTTTCATAGTTTGAGGTCTTAGATTTAAGTCTTTAATTCATTTTGATTTAATTTTTGTGTATGATGTTTGAGGTAGAGGTCTAGTTTCATTCTTCTGCATGTGGATATCCACGTTTCCCAGCACTAACTGAAGAGACTGCCCTTTCCTCACTGTGTATGTATTCCTGGCACTTCTGTCAAAAATGAGTTCACTGTAGATATGTCAGTTTATTTCTGGCTTCCCTATTCTGTTCTACTGGCTTGTGTGTCTGTTTTGATGCCAGTACCATGCCATTTGGGTTACTACAGCTCTGTAGTAAAATTTGAAGTCAGGTAATGTGATTCCTCCAGTTCTGTTCTTTTTGCTTAGGATAACTTTAGGTCTTTTGTTGTTCCAAGTAAATTTTAAGATTGTTTTTCTATTTCTGTGAAGAATGTCATTGGTATTTTGATAGGAATTGCATTGAATCTGTAGGCTTCTTTGGGTAGTATGAACATGGAATATTTTTCCATTTTTTGTGTCCTCTTCAATTTCTTTAATCAGTGTTTTATGGTTTTCACTGTACAGATCTTTTATTTCTTTGGTTAGTTATTTGTAGCTATTGTAAATGAGATGATTTTCTTCTTTTTCAGATTGTTTGCTGTTGGCATATAGAAATGTTATCGAGTTTTGTATGTTGATTTTGTATCCTGCAACTTTACTGAATTTGCTTATCAGTTGTAATAGTTTTTTTGGTGGAGTCTTTAGACTTTTCTGACTATAAAATCATGTCATCTGCAAACAAGGATTATTTTACTTCTTTTCCAATTTGGCTGCCCTTTTTTTCTTTCTCTTGTCTGATTGCTCTAGCTAGGACTTCCAGTACCATGTTGAATAACAGTGGTGAAAGTGGGCATCTTTGTCTTGTTACAGATCTTAGAGGAAAGGCTTTCAGTTTCTCCCCATTTGGTATCATCACCTCCTCTTTAGAGATGAGGAATCTGGTATACAGAGAACGTAAGTATCTTGTCTGAGGTTACATTGTTAGGTCACATCCAGAGCCTGATTCGAAACCAGGTCTGTTACACTCCAGTGAATTGTGTTCCACAAGTAAGAAGATATTTTTTGTTTTATTGTTCCTCATATTGACCTGACATGGCAAGGATTGTTCACGTGACTTTAGGTTGAACATAATGTTCTCCCCAAAAGGCTGGCCAGTTTGTGTTTTGTTCCCCCTGTCGTTCCACCTAATAAACTTTGGGAAACCTAAGTATCCCCAAGAATGCTGCAGGCAAGTCAACTGCTGTGGCCTCCATTTTTGGCTCAGGGTCAGCCCCTCTCAGTCATAGCAGGACTCAGCCCACCTACAGGCACTGACATTAAAACAGTGGGGTGGAAGAGGCTTTGAGGTAAATAGATGGAAATATTTCTTTCTTTTGGCATTTATTTTCTGGGTGGTGGGCCTTAGGGAGGAATGGCGGGAGGTGAAGGATTCATTCCTTCTAGCATCAGGCTAGTTTAGTGGGCTTCTTGGGTCCAGTGGTGATTGCCTGTGTTAGGTCATCCAAGAGGGAAGCCGAAGGACATCCAGGGAGCAGGTGTTCCCAATGCCATGGTGACAACACCCTTTCTTTTGGGGAGCCTTCCTGTCTTGCCCACTGCCTCCTACCCCCACAATAATCTTACTTCCCTATCTTCCAGGAAAGGAGCAACTCAGTCACAATGAAGAATAAGTGACCATCAATGTTGAGTAGCTCCCTGCTCTCCAGGGGTGGTGAGGGGTGAGATAGGAGTTGCCTCTTAATTGTAAAGTTGAAGGAATTATCTTTACTTCTGGAACTTCAAATGTCAATGAGTGGCTTGGGGAAAGGGTATCCTAGGTTGGATGCTGATGCTGCTGGTAATCACAAAATATTCTCCACTTTTTTTTTTAAAGCTTTTATGTTTTATTTACAAATGCCAACCTTTAGGCCCTTGTTCAATGGGTTCCTACCAGACTCACTCCTTGGTCTATGCACTCTGAAAACACCTCGTTGGGTTCCTCCAGGTGTCTCCCTGTTAGCAAGTGGGATCCCCACAAAAACCCCACTTTTGGGTGCTCAGTTTTGAGTGCCACTAACCCAATAAGCCCAAGATCCCCGGTATGATTTCAGGAGGCCATGGGCACCACCCTCTTTGATGTCAGCCCTAAAGCTTTGATTATACCCCGGGGTGGCTTTAGATTGATGCAACAGAATACCATGAACGGAGTGGCTTGTAAACAGCATACATTTATTCCTCACAGTTCTGGAGGTTGGGAAGACTAAGATCAAGGCACTGGCAGATATGGTATCTGGTGAGGACCTGCGTCCTGGTTTATAGATGGCACCTTCTGGTTGTAACCTCACGTGGTGGAAGGTGCAGGAGGTCTTTCTGGGGTCTCTTTTATAAGGGCACTAATCCCATTTGGAAGGGATCCACTCTTATGACCTAACCACCTCCCTAAGGCTTCATTGCCACATACCACCACATTAGGGATTAGTTTCAGCATACGGATTTGGGGAGGATACAAACATTTAGACCATGGTGCATCCATAGTGTGGACAACTCTTCAGTCATCAGAACACCTTCTGCTTGCCTATCCTTGTAGGCATTTTGGTCCACTGAGAAGCAAACTGAGCTCAAATCAAGGAAACTTGCATTTGAGTTCCATCCTTGTCACCATTTTTCTATCATGTGATATTGAGCAAGTCACTTTACATTCCTGGCTCACAGTTTCCTCAGCTATCGTAACTCTGGACCACTTTGCGAGGTTTTTGTCAGGATCAAATAGAATAATATAAATGAAAGTAATTTTAAATGACTAAGCTGAATAGTGATTAGAATGCTTTCAGCAAACAGGCAAAACAAAATTGAGATTGGCTGCCTTAGTGTGTTTTATACTGCTATAACAGAATATCTGAGACTGGATAATTTATAATGAACAGAAATTTATCGGCTCATAGTTCTGATGAACAGGAAGTCTAGGATTAAGGCACTGGCATCTGACAAGCACCTTCTTGCTGTGTGACCACATGGCAGAAGGTGGGAGGGCAAAGAGGGCAAGAGAGAAACACAAAGGGGGCCAAATATGCCCTGTCATAATGACATTAATTCAACCCATGAGGGCAGAGTCCTCACGGCCTAATCGCCTCTCAAAGGCCTCACCTCTTAATACTGTTGCAATTAAATTTCAACATGCATTTTGGAGGAAACAAACATTCAAATCGTAGCATTGGCTTAAATAATAAAGGAGATTTATTGGGTCCTGTAAGTGAAAAGTTCAGAGACTGGGCACACATTGACACCATGACTTTGATTTCTCCATGCGTCTCTCAGCTCTGTCCTCCTCCTGGTCCTGGCTTCATCCTGAGGCTTGAGCTGTGGTGGCTTCAGGATTCACAGGTTCTCACAACAACCACAGTAAGAGAGACTCTTGAGAAAGAGGAACAATTTCCCCAGAGCGTCCACCAAACCAGCCCTTGTGTCTCACTGCCCGAACTGGGTCCCATATCTGTTGTATTCTCTGAAGAGACTCCCAGTAAGTAGGACTTCTAAATTTTGATATATAAAACAAAAGAAGAAAATATTACCTCTACTTCTAACACTGTTGGAGATTATAACCTAGTTATACAATGGAAATTAAGGTCCATAGAGATTAAGATATATGCTAAATTAATTATATTGCAGAGTGAAATTTAAACTCAGCTTGTTGACTCTAAATTCTCTAAGTTTTCTTTCTTTTTCCCAGTTTGCCTCTTTTTAACATATTAGAATATCTGTAATGATTTTGTAAGACTGACCATGTTCAAACCCATGTAGTCTGAGGGTAAAGAAAAAAAGGATGACCGTATCTATTAAAAATTTCAATGTAGAAAAGTTCAGAGAAGTAAATAAAAGTAAATTGAGATCTCCTGTCCAGTGATAAACCATGAATACATTGGTAAATGTCCTTCCAAATGTAACACTGCATAAAAACACATGGATGTGTACAACTTAATAAAAATGGAGCCATACTCTTCGTGACTAAGACTGAGAATTGCCTGCCAAGTGTATAGTCTCATTTTCCCCTGTGGTGACAGGGCTCTTGGCCACATTCCCAGTAGAAAAATTCTTTTCTGGGCTCCCTGACAGATAGGAGTGGGATGTGGCTTGGTAGGAGTCCTGGTAAAAGCTATTGTGTCCCTTTTCTGGGATTCTCAGACATGGCATGATGGCTGAAGCTCCAGTAGCCACAATGTAGCCTTCAGGGTGGAAGCCACCTTCTAAGGATGGCAGAATAGAAGGACTGAAGGATCCTGCACCTCTGATGGTTTCAAGGAGCTGCCACACGAGCATAACCTGTCTGTCTCCAACTTCTTTTATAGCAGAGAATAAACCATTAGTCTATTTCAGCCATTAGACTTTAAAACCTATGCACATTGTGCACACTTTAAAATTGAAATCTAAAATTTTTAGTAAGTTTAAATAGTTACAAATAATGTAATTTTGACTTACTCAAACTGTTAACATTCTAAAACTGTCACATCATTCTTTAAAGTACATTCAAAGTAGGCTGGGTACAGTGGCTCATGTCTGTAATCCCAGCACTTGGGAGGCCAAGAAGGGAGGATTGCTTGAGCCCAGGAGTTCAAGACTAGCATAGGCATCATGGACAACCTCATCTCTACCAAAAAAACACAAAAATTAACTGGGTATGGTGTCTCACGCCTGTAGTTCCAGCTACTCGGGAGGCTGAGATGGGAGGATTGCTTGAGCCCAGGAGCTTGAGGCTACAGTAAGCCCTGATTGCACCACTGCACTCTAGGGTAACAGAGTGAGACCCTGTCTCAAAAAAACAAAGTGTATTCAAAGAAATGTAAATTCTATAATAATCTCATATTCACTGTCATCTACTTAAAAATACATGAACAAAACCTTTAACAGTTTAATTTTAGATCGTTTATTTTTCTGCTTGAACTCTTATTAAAATGAAAGTGAAGTGTGTTTGGTAGGACTTCATCCTAACATACGTCTATGCTTCACAGTCTTTTATAGATTACATTAGTCAATGTTTCTGCAGTGAAATTATACACACATGAACACATATATTCAAATCCTTTTTCATTTCTTGTGACCACACATCTCTGAGGGTTAAAATTTTGTCCTGAATTGAGGTACATTACAATTTTAATGAATATACAATTGAGCAAAAAAGTAAGCATATTTTAAAATTTTATTAATAATAAACATAAATTGGGAGCTGCATTTCTTAAGAGGAATGGAGTATTTTTTTTCAACTAATTGGTTCACTTATTCATGGTCGAATATTATTTATTACTAGAATGAAACGGTTCAGCTAGTCTTGTTCTCGTAGAAGTTAGCATTCAAACCTTGTTCACATAAACAAGTAAATAAAAATGGAACATGTTTTATTCTAGCATTGTCATAATTCTTTGAACTTTTTACAGATTTCATGCTAAACTGACATAATTATATAGCATCAAAACCATTTTTAATATTCTATCAGCTAATAGTTTGATTAAGCCTTCCTTTTTGTTGAAAGCAAGGAATTAGAAATCAATGACTTCATAGGATTTGCAACCCAATCGTTAGAATAATTCACGTTCTCAACTTCTGGGAATGGTATCAAAAAGGCTATGCACCAAGACCTGTCAAACGACTATTAATTACCTTCTTATTCCCTTACACAGGGGCACTTGTTTAAACTGCTGTTGACAGAAAGTGTTGGGAGATATTCAAACATAAATTTCAATTTACCTTTATCAGCCTAATATTTTTGATGAAATGCTTTTGTCCCAGTGCCAGCTTTAAACATATTTTCATCCAAACCTTGGAAAATGTCCACCAAGTTTCCTAAATGGCAAAGTGAGTTCTTATTGCCAAACCAATTAGTGAAGATTATTTATTTTGAAATATGACACACATCCCAAAAATTGCACTAAGCAAACTTTTACAAGTCAATAAATAATCAAATGCCAACATCCATGTGGCTATCACTCTTTTCTGGCATCCTAGAAACCCCAACTTCTCTCCTTTCCCAGTCACACCTCCCTCCCTCCCTTCCTGCTGGAGGCTACCACTACCCTGACCTGATGGTAGGCATGCTTTTCTTATTTAAAATTTTACCTGTACTTTGTATTGAATATTTTCTAAATGGAAATCTTACTGTGTGTTTCCTTTTGTGTTGCAACATTGTGTTTGAGAAATTCATACGTATACTTACATGATCAGTAGTGTCTTTGTTTTCATTTTGGTGTAGTTGTCCATTGCATAAAATTAGTACAATAAATTTATCCATTCTGCTATTAATGGGCATTTAGGTTATTTTCAGTTTGGTGCTACAATGAATCATGCTGCTATGAATATGCATTTCTGTTCTACCTAGAAGTAGAATTGTTGAATTCTAGAACATGTCTGTCTTCAATTATAGTATAGAGTGCCAATGTTTTTTTCAAAGTGGTTGTACCAAAATTACACTCCTACTCATAGGAGAGTGCTTGTAACTTCTCGTCCTCACTCACATTTATGTTCATCAGCTCAAAGACCCTGCATTTGTGCATTCTTTGTAACTCCTGCATATTTGTCAGTCTTTATACCTTTGCACTTCATGTACCTTCTGGAGGGCACGTGGTGGTAGCTCACTATGGTTTTAATTTGTATTTCTCTGATAATGAATGAGACTTAGTTCCTCCTGTGAGTTGCTTGTTAAGACTTTGCCAATTTTCTATTGCAATCTTTATTTCTTGCTGTTTTGTAGGAGTTCCTTTTAATATTTTGGGTATGATCCCATTAATGCTTATGTGTATTGCGGTATCTTCTCCTACTCTGTGATTTGTCTTTTTAACTTTAAATGGTTGTTTTTGATGAACAAGACCTTCTTTTTCTAATGGGGCCTGAATAACAAGCTTTTCCTCATTGGCAGTTCTTTTTGTGTCCTGATGAGTAAGTTCTTCTCTACTCTGGGGCTATGAAGATAGTTTCCCATATTATCTTTTAAAAGCTCAATGGACACAACTTTGAGCAATTTTTAGTTACTGTGTTTTTCAGTTCTAGAATTCCCATTTTTTATTCCAAATCTGGTACTTTTTTGATTTTTGCTGACATTGTTTTTTTTCCTTTTATCTGCTTATACACAGGAAGCATAGAATTTAAAAACTTAATTATGAACATTTGTATATGGATCTGTGTATTAAATATGCACAGATGGAAAAAATAGTATAATGAATTTCTATGTATTCATTACTCTGCTTCAATAATGATCAATATTCTTTAATTCTTTTACAAAATGTATTCCCCTCTCCCTCCTCCATTGCTACTGCTGATGCTCCCCTCCTCCTCCGCCTCCATCATCATCTTTCTCTTCCTCCTTTTCTTTTTCCTCTTTCACTTCTGTTTCCTTCTTCATTTTAAAGCAATTTAAAGTTTTAAATTTAAATTGTAATTTAAAGCAAATTCAAAGAGCCAGGCATGGTGGTGTATGCTTGTAGTTCTAGCTACTTGGGAGGCTGAGATGGGAAGATCACTTGAGTCTAGGAGTTTGAGTCTAGCCCTGGCAACATAGTGAGACCCTATCTCTAAAAATATATAAATAATAAAAAAAATCCAAGATGTTAGCATATTTCTTTAACCGAGATGGACTTTAAAAAAATATAACTGGCCAGGCACAGTGGCTCACACCTGTAATTCCAGCACTTTGGGAGGCCGAGGCAGGTGGATCATTTGAGGTCAGGAGTTTAAGACCAGCCTGGCCAACATGGTGAAACCCCGTTTTTACTAAACATACAAAAATTTGCCAGATGTGGTGGCACATGCCTGTAATCCCAGCCACTTGGGAGGGTGAGACAGGAGAATTGCTTGAACCCAGGAGGTGGAGGTTGCAGTGAGCCATGATTGCACCACTACATTCTAATCTGAGCAACAGAGTAAGACTCCGTCTCAAAAATATTTATATATATCTATGTATGTTTAAAATATTATATATAATGCAGAATATATATATGAAAAACCAGAAAATCACACTTAGAGATGTTAATACTGATTCCTTAATGCCATCTACTACCTTGTTCACCTTTAATTTTCAGTATTCTCATATTAGCTTTCAGCTCTTAAACAATTTAAGTTGTTTTCAACCTGGGCTCCAGACAAGGTCTGCACATTGTATTTGGTCATTGCGGCACCATTCTCCTTCAATAGTGTAGTTGTTTTAAAGTCTGGATATGATAATGCCAGTATCAGGAGCCCCTGTGGGTTTGTTTCTAGTGTTGTTTCTGCTGCCGCTGCTTCTTTTTTTCTTTGTTGTTGTTGTTGAGACAGAGTCTTGCTCTGTCACCCAGGCTGGAGTGCAGTGGCACGATCTCAGCTCACTGCTACTTTTGTCTCCTGGGTTCAAGTTATTCTCCTTCCTCAGCCTCCTGAGTAACTGGGATTACAGGTACCCACCACCATGCCCGGCTACTTTTTGTATTTTTAGTAGAGATGGGGGTTTCACCATGTTGGCCAGGCTTGTCTCAAACTCCTGACCTCAAGTGATGTTTGCCTCAGCCTCCCAAAGTGCTGGGATTATAGGAGCCACTGGGCCTGGCCTATTTCTGCTTCTTTTCTTTCATATTGTCTTGTCTTATGTGATTGGTTATCTTTTATTGTGTGCTTGAATTGTATTTGAAAAGTTGTTTTTAAAAAAATAATGTTTAATCTAGGAGGATGTTTTCTTTTTCTAGAGAGGATTTGTTTTTGCTTCTGCCACATATTTGGGGGCACTAGCTATCCTGCACACCTTATTCCAGATGTAAAGACTGAACTTAGTTAAAGCTGGTTTAGGCTAGGCTCATGCCTGCAATTCCAGTACTTTGGGAGGCTGAGGTGGCCGAATCATTTGAGGCCACAAGTTCGAGACCAGGTTGGCCAACATGGTGAAACCCTGTTTCTACTACTAGTAAAAATCGGCTGGGCGTGATGACACGCACCTGTAGTCCCAGCTTCTCAGGAGGCTGAGGCACGAGAGTTGCTTGAATCTGACTGGCAGAGGTTGCAGTGAGCCAAGATCACACCACTGCCCTCCTGCCTGGGCAACAGAATGAGACTCTGTCTCAAGGAAAAAGCTAGTTTAATGTTGCTTTGGGAACTCTTCTATTTCTCTCACTCCTAGGTACCACTGCTATGGTGGACCTTGGTATTCATCTTCTGTCCCCTTTGTCCTGTGAAGTAACAGAAGCACTCTTCAGCCTCTTCATCTCTCATTCTCACAGTTGGCTCTTCCAGGTGGAATCATCAAACATCCCCATAAGAAAAGCAGACCAACCTCTATGGCACCAGTTACGTCTCTGGATTTCTGTCTCATCCTAGATCTTGGCTAGCTTTTTTGTTTACTTGTTTTTTGTTTCTAACTATTTTAGTAGCTCTCCTATGGCTTAAAGAGGATTTTAAAAATACCATGTCCCCATTTTCTATTTCAATTAAGCCATCCTTAATAGATTGGTTAAATATTCTCAATTTGCCATTAGCACTAGAGTTAATTTATATTCTAAATTGAAGTCTAATTTATCTACATAAAATACAAAAATCCTAAGGGCATAATTCAATACATTTTCCCATATTTATACATACATGTAATCACTTATTGTCATCTCAAGTAGATGTATTAATATGTAATCCCATGCAAACCTCACTTCTGAATTTTAGTTCCAAGGAAAAAGGATAAGGTCCCATGAATGTGCCACTAAATGAAATAAGATCCTGCATCATTCAATATTTTTCACTGATAGGTTCTTTTCCCCCTTTACTCGTGGAACTTTCCTTTGGAAGCAATGTATTCTTTGACAACACTTAGAGTTTGGAAGAGGCGAGATATCATTAAATAAAAATAGTCATCACTCCTAAACCTTGCTCTACAGTATATCTGAGTTCAAAACATCCCATTATAGTCCAAAATACCTCATTTCTAATGGCATGTTTCACCCTTAACTGAAATGTGTTTAAGGTAGGGAAAAATAATGAGCTATTTGGTAGAAATGAGAGCACCAGTTTATGGTACCTTGATTAAGGGAGGCTTTGTGACACTAAGATTTTGAATGGTTCCTTTGTTTGACACCCACAAGCAGTGCACCATTCTATGATTCAAGACGGTGAGAGGTAAACCTTTCTTTTGTGAGACAGGAGAAGGGCCACTGTTAAAGGAGGCATAGGAAAGGAGAACTAGCTATTAGGAAAGAGTAAATATGGAAGTTTAGTTCTGGAAACTGATTCTCTTAGATCCATTTTGCCTGAATTCTTTTGGAACATGCTCATGGATCCAGGGACACAAATACCCTAGTAAAACTATTGTTTGAAGTCACTGGAGTCTACTTCATACACCATCAGCTGAACAAGATTCCTAAATGATAAACTACAATCTCCATGTTATAGGATTGTGTGTAGGTTTAGTGAGATAATGTATGTAAGTTCCTTAGCAACCATTACTTGGCATGTAATAAAAAAGCAATAATAAGCTACTTATTGATCATCACTTATGACCATCACCAACTGAATGAATGCATTCATTCATTCAAATATTTATCGCATAAAAGCAATTTACAAGGTGTTTTATGGTATACTGGCCTTTATCACTGAACTAGTGTTCAAGAGGGGACTTCATAGTTTGGAACAAAGAACAGAAGGTGGCGAAACTTGGATTCTTGCCTCAGTTGCCTCAGCTCAGCCTTTGAAAGCTGTGACATCTTGGGTCTTGGTTTCATCATCATCTGCCCAAATTTTTCACTGGGTTGGTCAAGAGCTTAATAAGAAAGTGAACATGAAATCTCTCTGAAATACTGCGGAATGTGCAAGGAACCTTCCACTCCCACTCTTTTTTTTTTCAAAGTCCAGTTTCCATACTTAAAAGAAACTCTTAAGATGCCATCTCAGTCCCTATGGGCCAAAGTTCCTCTTCATACACTGGTCTCAACCCCTTTTCTGCCTCTACACTCTTGACATGAGAACACTCTTCCATAAATAACAGCTCTCATTAGACACTATCATTCCCATGCAAGGAAGACAGACATAGAAAAATGGGGGAGAGGTGGTCAAGGAGCTAGGACAGCTAGTTTGTAAAAGCCCTTTGTGGAATCAACAACCTTCTCCTTGCAGAGTTGGTTCTTTCTCCATCTCCCATGAAACTACTGTTGGCCCAACATTCTCCAGAGTGTGGACCAAGGGGCACAAATGCCATGAAAGGTGGATCTAGATGGAAGGCAGGAAGGGCAGTGAATAAGATTATATCATGAAGCAAGATCCCTGTTCTCCTTTCAGTTCTCCTCACCACTGCTTGTGACTTCTCTAACCTTGGTTCATCTTGATTTTTTACAAGGAGAAAACTTGTCTTCAGGCAGGTACTGTTTAGTTAATTTTTAACTAATTGTTTGGTTGTCATTGTGTTTTTTTTTCCAGTTATCTCCTACTTTTAGCAAGGGATATGCCATAAGTAGTAGCTAACACTTACCGAGTACCAAGCAGTGTTGTGAATCATTTCTTTCTTTTTTGGTAGAGATGTTGCTGAGGCTGGTCTCGAACTCCTGGGCTCAAGTGACCCTTCCTCAGCCTCCCAAATAACTGGGATTACAAGTGTGAGACACTATGCCCAAGTAATTAAAAAATTTTTTTTTCTAGAGACAGAGTCTTGCTGTGTTACCCAAGTTGGTCTGAAACTCCTGGTCTCAAGGGATCCTCCCGCCTCAGCTTCCCAAAGTGTTGGGATTATAGGTGTGAGCCACTGTACCCAGCCTAAAGCTAATTCTTAACTAAAGAATAAAAATTAAAGGTAATATGTGGATAGCATAAAAATGGAGACAGAGGTCCTCAAAAGACCCAGCTTTGGGAAATACCAATTTAGCCCAGGCTCCACTGTCCTATCCCAAGGGCTGAGAGTCTTCAGCTCTGGCAGAAAGTCAGTGCAGAACTGTCTGGACTGAAGGAAGAAAGGAGGATCCCCTTTGCGTCTCCATTTAAAGCCATGGCAGAATGGCCTACCTGGATATGGGCTGATATTATATTCTTTTATCCTTTTTGTATTTTTCACCATGCAATGGTATTACCAATTCAAACAATGTGATGTGATAGAAACTAATTCAATATATAAACCAGAGCTTTTCCCAGTAAACCTAGCACAGCAGGTAAGGGTCATTAGGATTAATGGATTAACACACATCAAGCATTTAGGATGGGGCCTAGCACCATGTAAGTGCACTTATAAGGGTGACAGTGGTTAACAGAAGATGAGATGTGCTGAGGCCCATGAGGAGAGGCTCTCACAGTCCTGAAAGAGGCAAGTCCTCAGTGAGCTTCTATTCGTGGTAGCTCAACAATGGACCTATCTGATGTGGTTCAGGACTTGCTTTATTCTGGGCAGTTGCATGGATCTGCCATAGTGAGCTGGCTATGTAGAAACATTCTGCTTGGGTGCCTGGACAGCCGCCGATGATCTGAGCCTCTGTGCATCACCAGCTACAGGACCCCATCTCTGTAGTCGTGGAGCATCACTAAGTTCCTGAATGAACATGCATCAAACCCCTGCCCTGTGTTGAGGGCTGCATGCAGCTGGCTGATGAATCGGGAAAGTATGTGTTTCCAGACCAGCACCACCATCAGGGAGAAGTGGGCTGTTAAAACCAGAGGAGATGGATTCTTCTATGCTTCTTTAAAAATTATTTTTAAATTAATTAAAAAATCTTTATTTTTTGGAGGGGGTACATGTGATAATTTAAGACATTCATATCATTTTTGAAGACCAAATCCACATATGTGGGATGTCCATCACCTAAAATATTTGTCTTTTCTTTATGCTAGAAATATTTAAATTATTCCCTTCTAGCTATTTTGAAATGCACAATAGATTATTGTAAAATGTAGTTGCTCTCCTGCTCTATTGAACACCAGCTCTTATTTCTTCTATACTTATTAGACAATTAGACCAGTAGACCAAGAGAACAAGATTAGGCAGGAACCCAGGCAGCTCAGTGAGGTCAAGGGCTTGGAGCTGGGACTTGCTTACACTCCTCTGCTGGGCCCTTACCTTTTGCAGAGCTCCTCCATTTGTAGAATACCCACAGGCATGACTGTAGTTTAGGGACAGAGCTTGTATACAATGAACATGGCCACATCACTGAGTAGCCATCTAACCCTGGACAAAACATTCTTCCCTTTGAGCCTGATATGTTTTGGCTGTGTCCCCACCCAAATCTCATCTTGAATTGTAGTTCCCATAATCCCCACATGTCCTGGGAGGGACCATTCAATTACTTCCTGTGTGTGGGAGATGTAATTGAATCATGGGTGTGGTTTCCCCCATGCTAGTTCTGTAATAGTGAGTAAGTTCTCACAAGATCTGATGGTTTTATAAGGGGCTTCCCCTTCACTCAGCTGTCATTTTTCTCCTGCCTGCTGCCACGTGAAGAAGTATGTGTTTGCTTCCCCTTCCACCATGATTGTAAGTTTCCTGAGACTTCTCCAGCCCTGCAGAACTGTGAATCTTTTCTTCATAATTTACCCAGTTTCAGGCAGTTCTTTATAGCAGCATAAGAATAAACTAATACAGAGCCTCTGCATCCTCATCTGTAAAATGCAAGTTGTAATTAGCACCAACCTTAAACAGTTGTTATATGAGTCAAATTAGATAAGGCAGGGAAGGTGCCTGGCACACTGTGGGTGAGGCAGCTCTGGGCAGGCAAGACCAGGAGACTGGGCTGCAAGAGGTGAAGCTACTACCTTAGGACACATGGCTGCTAAAAGGACAGAGCCCTTTATTTAAGCCCAGTGGCCTCTGCCCTGGGAAATGTGTCCCTAGCATGGTGTGATGTTCAGCCTCTGAAGTGCCACAAAATGCAACAGTGAAGTTCAAGACTCAGAAGTCAGCCTGTGATTTCTGTAAGTTTAGATAAATAAGAATTTGCTTTATTTGATTTACATCAATATTATGGACAGAAATGTGACCAAAGTCTGCCGTTGGAGGTGAGCAGGGGCAGTCTAAATGAAGAAAAGCTTTGTTTGCACTTCTGTGGCTAAAATGAATCATATAGGTTTTTTTTTTTTTTTACATTAGAGTTTATTCTTGGTGCTGTACATTCTACATGTGTTTTACAAACGAATAATGGTGTATTCACCATTGTAGTTCAACCTGTTAATTTTTAGTATCTTTTTTTAATTGCATTTTAGGTTTTGGGGTACATGTGAAGAACATGCAAGATACATAGTTGCATAGGTACACACATGACAGTATGATGTGCTGCCTTCCTCCCCATCACCTATATCTGGCATTTCTCCCCATGCTATCTCTCCCCAACTCCCCACCCCCCACTGTCCCTCCCCTATTTCCCCCTGACAGACCCCAGCGTCTGATGCTCCCATAACCCTGTGTCCATGTGTTCTCATTGTTCAATACCCGCCTATGAGTGAGAACATGCGGTATTTCACTTTCTCATATAGGTTTTAAGTGAGTTGTTCCACTTGTTGTGCAGTGCCTCGGAAAATGCACCTAAATTTCCACATCTATGTTAGATGTACCCAGCCTCAGGAAAGTGTCTTTTGCGGCGCGAGACTGTTCAGCAGGAGGATCTGGAAGCTGCTTGGGTTCAAATTCTAGCTACATCCCTACACCAGAAGCTGGGTGGCCTTCTGGGAAGCTTCACCTTCCTCATGTGCAAGATGGTGCTGAGAGTGGTATCTATTTCACAAGGTATCTGTTAATGGAGATGGGGCTCAACAGAGTCTAAGCTAGACAGGGTACTTAGCACAGGGCCTGGCAAACAAGAGGAGCTCTGTGATCATAGCTATTATTATAATTAAGGCACAAAGTCTCACTTAAACTTACAAAGCATTATCCTTGGCAGCCAAAGCATGAACACACTGTTCTTCCCAGCTGTGGACCTGAATGGTGGCTGAGACTGGAGCCACCTGTCGTATCTGAGCTCACAGATGCCTCCTACATTCACCAAGCCAGCCTCTGCATTTTATGTGGCTCTGAATTCTCCCCACTCCCACCCTCCTCAGCCCGCTGCCATCCTGCCTCAGGCTCAGTGCTCAGCACAGTGGGTTCTACCTAATGGTCTGCCCATCAGCATTGAATATGCTGTGCATCAACTCGGGAGGGGTTTTATTTTAGAAGGGATGGCATATTGGCAATGCCTGAAGATGGGATCAAGGAAAATGAGGCCAGTGGGGCCTTCAGCCATGACCTTCCTGATCAAAGGTGGTGCTTTCTTTCCAAGTAACATTTCAGACATCTAATAATTGATGGGATGATGCGAACTCACAACGAGCTTGAACAGCTGCTCCTGGGTAGACTGTTTAGCGCCTCTCCAGCTCAATTCTTCATTTCAAAAAATAGGAATGAAAAATACCTGCCTTTCTAGGCATTTATAAGGATCAACTTACCTTGCAAGCATAATGCTCTGCAAATGTAAATGTGCTCTCTCTCTCTCTCTCTCTCTCTCACACACACACACACACACACACACACACACACACACAGACACGAGTCTTGTTTTTTGCATCTCTTAATTTAATAGGCTGGTGGAAAACAGGAGGGCCAGAAGTCTTTTTTCCCCGACATTAATTTAATCCTGTGCATCTCCCTTCTCTCTCGGCTGTAGCCTCTAAAGAGAAGAGGCCATCATGGGGTTTGCTGGGCAACAGGAGATGGATCGTGAAAGATGATGATGATTCTAGTGATTCATCTTCCAGTCGGCTCAGGAAGCGGACCTTTTGCAGGTGAGAGATTTGTGAGCAAAAGGCAATCCCTCTTTGAGGGCAAACACTTTGCAGCTGAGTGAAGAATGGAGCTGAGGTGCTTGCTCTGGCTTCAGGGAGAGCGTGTTGGCAACCTGCCCTCCCTTAGTGTGGAGTCTCGGTCACCCCAGCTCAGTTCAGATCATCATGACTCTGTACTCCTGTGGGCTTCTGAATTGACCCCTGGCCTCAACTCCTGCCTCTAGCTTTGTCATGTACATAGCTCAATAAATAATTTGATGCTGCTGCTGATGATAGGGGGTTTGGTGTGGATTGTTTTATTTAATTCTCTTGCCATCCCAGCAAGGCAAGTACTATTACTATTCCTATTTTGCAAGTTGGTAAACAAAGGCACAGAAAGGTTAAAACGCACCATTTTATAAAGGCATATGCTTGGGAAGTCAGAGTTCAAGCCCTGGATGTCCAACTCTGACGCCTAAATGTTTTACCCTTAGTCCTTACTTGTTGCCCACCACTTGGAAGAAAGGAGGGAGTGGGGGGAGAGACAGGAAGGGAGGAAAGGAGGATCTCTTCCAGGCTGTGCAGATGAAGTGAGAGACTGTGGGCGTGTGAAAGAGCTTTCTAAAATATAAAGTGTAAAAACGGACTAGCGTATCATTGTTAGACCAAAGCTGTCCTTGGGAAGTGTGCCCTCTCTGAGCCGAGAGTTTGGATCTCTGGCATCTGGCTCTCTGGCTTTTTTACCCTTCAGTGAGCTCTCCTTACTCCAGTTCTAAGGCATCTCTCCCTGGAAGGTGAGGGAAACAAGCTTGCTCCTGAGAACTGGGAGGTTCAGAGACTTCCACCTTTGGACATCTTGCTGCTGTGTGTGACTTTGGGTGAGTCCCTTAACCACTGTATGCCCAAGAATGCCGCTTTTTTTTTTATGAGAAATCACCATGGCGCTACCCAAGCCATAGGGTGAGTGTCAGTATGTGATAGTACCAATTTAAGTTGCCAGATTTCCAGTGCTCCATGGTCAGAGGTGGCTAGTGGCTAGCCTTTGGACAACACAGATGTAGAACATTTTTATTGCTGCAAAACATTCTATTAGACTGCACTGCTCTAGAGTTTAATATTTGTTTACAGGTTTTTTTTTTCTTTTGAGATAAAACTTACAATGCAACACGCAAATTAAGGTACAGAATCTTGCCATCACCCTGGAAGGTTCTCTCATGTCTCATTCTAATTCGATCTTCACCCCCATTTCCAGAGGCAACTGCTGTTTTGGTCACTCTTTTAGCCATAAATTAGCTTTCCCTATATGTGAAAGACTTTGATTGGCATTTCTAAGGGTCCCCTGAAAGCTTGTACCATTTTTCACCAGAGAGTCTTGGGACTAACAATTTCTACCCTTTCTCTTCAGTTCACTGGTTGTTCCTACATCTAAAAAACAACCCAGACTCCAGCCAGTCTTTGGGACTTGAAGATGGCCTGCCTTTGGGGAGCCACTTTCCTCTATATGATTCCACTTTCCTCTGTTTAGATCTGACCCCTTGGGAAAGAGCTGGACATATTTCTCTCCGTCTTGGTCTGTTCCTGCTGCTATAACAAAATAACAAAATGTCTGAGACTGGGTAATTTATAAAACACAGAAATTTATTTCTCATAGTTCTAAGAGGCTGCCAAGTCCAAGATCAGGGACCCCGTAAATTAGGTGTCTGGTGAGGGCTGATCCCTGCTTCCCTCTTGCTGTGTCTGCCCAAGGCAAAAGGGCAAAAGGCAAAGGGGTAGACAACCTCCTCAAACCTCTTTATAAGGTCATTAATTCCATTCATGAAGGTAAAGCCCTCATGACCTAGTCACCTCCCCCAAGCCCTATGTTCTAATACTAATGCCATCACTTTGGTAATTAGGTTTCAACATGTGAATTTTAGAGGGATACAGACATTCAGGCCATAGCCCCTGCTGTGTTCCTTTCTAGGAGTGTCTGACTGGCATTCCCAATGCAGACTTTCTGCCACTGTTTGCAGGGTAGCCAGGTGGATGGGAGTGGACAGGAGAGAGAGAGAGAGGCTGCCACCTTCTTCTTCTTTTTTTTAATTGTACTTTAGGTTCTGGGGTACATGTGCAGATCATGCAGAATTGTTGCATAGGTACATACATGGCAAGGTGGTTTGCTGCCTTCATCCCCCCATCACCTATATCAGGCATTTCTCCCCCTGTTATCTCTTCCCAACTTCCCCACCCACCCCTGCTGTCCCTCCCTTAGCCTTCCCCCCAGCAGACCCCAGTGTGTGATGTTCCCCTCCCTGTGCTCATGTGTTCTCATTGTTCAACATCCACTTATGAGCAATAGCATGCAGTATTTGGTTTTCTGTCCTTGTGTCAGTTTGCTGAGAATGATGGTTTCCAGATTCATCCATGTCCCTACAAAGGACATGAACTCATCATTTTTATGGCTGCATAGTATTCAATGGTGTATATGTGCCGCATTTCTTTGTCCAGTCTATTGTTGATGGGCATTTGGGTTGGTTCCAGGTCTTTGCTATTGTAAACAATGCTGCAATGAACATACACGTGCATGTGTCTTTATAATAGAACAATTTATAATCCTTTGGGTATATACCCAGTAATGAGATTGCTGGGTCAAATGAAACTTCTGTTTCTAGGTCCTTGAGGAATCACCACACTGTCTTCCATGATGGTTGAACTAATTTACACTCCCACCAACAGTGTAACAGTGTTCCTTTTTCTCCACATCCTCCTCAGCATCCATTGTCTCTTGATTTTTTAATGATTGCTATTCTAACTGGCATGAGATGGTATCTCAATGTGGTTTTGATTTGCATTTCTCTGATGACCAGTGATGATGAACATTTTTTCATATGTTTGTTGGCCTCATAAATGTCTTCTTTTGAAAAGTGTCTGTTCATATCTTTTGCCCACTTTTGAATGGGTTCGTTTGTTTTCTTTTCTTGTAGATCTGCTTTAGTTCTTTGTAGATTCTAGCTACTAGGCCTTTGTCAGATGGGTAGATTGCAAAAATTTTTTCCTATTCTGTTGGTTGCTGGTACACTTTAATGATTGTTTCTTTTGCTGCACAGAAGCTCTTAAGTTTAATTAGATCCCATTTGTCTATTTTGGCTTTTGTTGCCATTGCTTTTGGTGTTTTAGTCATGAAGTCCTTGCCTGTGTCTATGTCCTGAATGGTTTTGCCTAGGTTTTCTTTTTTTTTTTTTTTCTGGTCATCCTTCCTTCCTTTTTTTTTTGATTTTTTATTGCATTTTAGGTTTGGGGGTACATGTGCAGAACATGCAAGACAGTTGCATAGGTACACACGCCTAGGTTTTCTTCTAGGATTTTATGGTGTTATGTTTTATGTTTAGATCTTTAATCCATCTGGAGTTAATTTTAGTGAATTTTAGAAAATACTAAGGGCAGCCAGAGAGAAAGGTCAGGTTACCCACAAAGGGAAGCCTATTAGACTTACAGCAGATCTCTCAGCAGAAACCCTACAAGCCAGAAGAGAGTGGGGGCCAATATTCAACATCCTTAAAGAACAGAACTTTCAGCCCAGAATTTCATATCCTGCCAAACTAAGCTTCACAATTGAAGGAAAAATAAAATCTTTTATGAACAAGCAAGTACTCAGAGACTTTATTATCACCAGGCCTGCTTTACAAGAGGTTCTGAAAGAAGCATTACACATAGAAAGAAACAACCAGTATTAGCCTTTCTAAAAATACACCAAAAAGTAAAGAGCATCAACATAAAGAAGAATTTACATCAACGAATGGATAAAATACCCAGTTAACATCAAATGGCAGTAACCCTAAATTTAAGTTGACTAAATCCCCCAATCAAAAGATACAGCCAAAACCTAATGGTATGCTACATCCAGACCCATTTCATATCCAAAGATACACAAAGACTCAAAACAAAGGGATGGAGAAAGAATTACCAACCAAATGGAGAGCAAAAATAAATAAATAAATAAAAAGCAGGAGTTGCAATTCTCGCATCTGATAAAATAGATTTCAAAGCAACAAAGACATAGTGGTAAAAGGATCAATGCAACAATAAGAGCTAACGATCCTAACACCCAGATACATAAGACCCATAAAGAGGTTTAGACTCAACGAGATAGAAAATTAATAAGGATATCCAGGACTTGCACTCAGATCCGGAACAAGTAAACTCAATAAATATTTATAGAGCTCTCCATTTTAAATACACAAAATATACATTCTCCACCTTAAATATACAAAATATTGATCGGCCATTATCAATACCCATTTTTAGAATAGAGCAACATTCCCGTTCTCTCTCCCTCTTTTTATTCCTCTCTCTTCCTCTCCCTCACTCCTTTTTCTTTTCTTCCAAAAAAAAAAAAGAAAAAAGAAGAAATTCTTAAATTATCAAGATATCTAGCAAAAGAAAGTACTTGTAATATTTCTCATCATGCATTAATACTGTCAATCATAAAAAAAAAAATTTAGTGTAGGGTATAAGGAATGAGCCCAGTTTCAGCTTTCTGCAGATGGCTAGAGGCTACCAACTTCTAAGGACTGTCCTGTGAGCCAGGGTTGGCCCTGAGGACACAGCCTAAGGCCATATGCACCCAGGCCACTTGGTGACTGGTGGCCCTGATCCTGGAGTGGGAATTGCAGGATTTGAATCAAATTTAAGCTGCAAAGTGGGAGCTCTGAGCTTTTGGCTTAAAATTCCGGAAGGGGGTAAAGAATCACATTTTACCTTTATGCGTCAGTGGAGATGAAAAAATTCTCTAGAAGGAAAAACCCAACCCACCTGTTTGCAGAGATGCTACATCAAAGCTTGGAAGATTCCCAAGTGCTCCCAGCCTGCCCCCAGGCCAGTCCCTCCCAGTTCTGCCATCCCTGGGGGTGGCCAGAGAAGGCATCCGTGTGCTGAGACCCAACCAGTAGGACAGGAACTGCGATTCTAGGGACTTGCAGCTGTCAGGGAAGGACCCGAACTGACTTTTCCTGGGTGAAGAAAGGGCCCCACTGGAGTGAGGT